TTAATATCGTACGATAATCATGATAATTTGCGTGATCTTTTTCATATTTTTTACAAAATATATCTCAATATTTGAATTGCAAATTAATAAATATTAAATATTAAAAATAGATATTATAATACTCATCTGACATAACGTGGAAGAGAACCTCGATGAATTATAACCTTACGTACACCCCAATACTAACCAAACTTATCCAACGTGTCACGACGCGAACTGTCATCGCCGCGAAAGTTCAGAGCGCGACTTCGACTTCGACTTCGTGCGAGGCTGCAAGATTAGAAATTCTAGCGCCTCTTGTGTCAGAAATTGTAAAAGTACACTTCCCCCACTCCGCAACTGGTCGACGATAATGACGTTTCTTAATCTGAAATTCCTACATTTCGGACTTTGCATTGCAATATCTCCGCTCTTAGGACATGTAGGAAAAAAATAAACACACTTTCATTATATAAATCGAACCCAAGTTATCGATTTATTAAGTCTAGTTAGAACTTAATCGGTTCGACCGTTATTGAGATCTCAAAATCTCGGGTGCTCGCAACGCGACGGCTCGCGTTAAGAGACCCGGCATGGCTTGTTTAAACACTTGACACCAAGCCACTACCGTGTCTCCTGATTTGAGTACACTTGTGAAACAAAAATAAAGCTCTTCTTTCGTAACATAAGACAAAAACAAAAAAGCTTATACATATACTCATTTTCAAAATAAAATAATCTTTCATAATGTCAAAATAAAATATTTATCTTTAAATTAAGAAAATTTCAAAAAATAATATGAATTAAATAAAAATATTAATATCGAATATAGAAATATAATCAAATAAAATGAAGACAACCCAAATTGAATCAAGTCGCTATGTTAAACATTTTACCAGAATTTCTTTTCAATCAAGTATATACTTAACATATTTCTGCTTGACGACAGAGTGAAATTATTATGCATTAAATATTTGCATAAAATTAATAGCGACGTATGTCGACACTACTTAATAAAATTTACTTAAAAAATAAAAAAAATAACGCGAAATATCTCATTCTTTAATCTTCATTTGAACTATCGGTATCAGTCTTAAACACTTTATTACGAGACGAAGTTTCCAATAGTTCTCTCAGCAACTGACATTTTTGTTTTTTAATTTTTAATTTATCTCGGTGCCATTCTGCTGCTTCCTCTAACTTACGTTTAGCAGTATTTAGTTTTATATTTAATTGTTTTTCTTTTAATACTATTAATGTCTTTTTCATCTGCATTTCTTCTGATTTTCTTTTCTCGTAAGCTTCCTGCTTCTCTTTTTTTATCTCATCTTTATCTGATAAATTTTTTAAATGCTGTAACCATTGTTTTTCTAGCTCTATTTTTTTTGTCGCTGTTCTGCTTCCTGAGCCATGTTAAAAGCGCTTCTTATTATTATGTGTGTCGCTTGCGGCTGTGAGACAAACACTTGTTTCTGTATTTGAGGATGTCATCTTTTCGAGAATTGCTTGTTTATTTTTATTCAATTCTTTTAATTTTGATGGATCTTTACAAATTCGTTTCTTAGCATTTTCTGTGCTTGATGTACTTGGTGATAAAATTGATGTACTTGATGATGTAATTGATGTAATTGATATTTTGTCGCTTTGTTCCATATATGTTGACAGCATAGTTGATGATTTCGATTTTGAATTCTTTTTAGCGAAAGTTGATGATATTGTACTTTGATCTTGTATCGTTCTCCGATCACCAAGAATATTTTCCATATAGTCGAAAAATTTAAATGTCATGTACCCAGTAC